CAAGTGGAACGCGGAAATGCGTTTCATTTCCCACTTCCGGTTCCGGTCGCCCGAACGCGCCAAAATTGATTACAGTAATACAGGGAGGATGAAAAACAGCTGAACAGCTCCTTCCCAGAACCAATTGAATAGCAGATACTGGATACCACCCACGGAACCACCAATGAACATGGGGATTAGCCCTATTTAAAGAGGACACAGGGATGGGGGGAATAGGATGTTTTTTTTATATACTGTAATTGTATATTGATTTTATTCTTTATATACGGTCCCTGATGAAGTTCTTTGCAGAACGAAACGCGTAGGACCATACCGTTTTTTATTATACTTTATACTGATGGTGAATACTCACCTTTTATCAATAAATACATCTTTTTTCTACCATTACCTGTTTGGAGTCCTGAGCATCATTAAGGAAGCCTAAGAAGGAGCCAAGGGATTACCAACCCCCCATTCCACTAGGGGAGGCACCCTATGAGCGATATATTCTACTTCATTCTGTGAGTGCATTTGTATTCAGCGGAAAACCATGTGTTAATTGTACTTCACTATTTTGTGTATATTTTTTGTGTTCCTTTTAGATTAACTGTCCAGCCGTATCCCGAAGTTCTGTGTTGCTTGTGGTTATCCATAACCACTACAGTCTGCTGTGCCCTGACACTGTCTGTCCCATTGCAAGTTGTCAACTTGTTTTAGAACGGTTTGGCTACTTATTAAGAGCCTGCTGGGTGCCTGCACAGCATCCACCACATCAAAAACCGCACTGCTCTTTAGAGCAAAGCTGCGCAACAGTCATTGACTAAGAGTGTTCCGTTTATTCTATCAGCCAATGATTTGCTCTAAAGTGACCTGTGACTTCTCTAGTTGGAGAACACCAGATGTGGTGTGGGCATCAAACAGGACCCATGTAAGGTGTTAAAGCATGATAAAATGGTTTGACATCTTACCATGCGATGGTGTCTGGGCACTCATTGCATCTTAGCCACTACAGTGGGCTTGAAGTGTTCAGTTATAGGCATTATTAAACCTATGCAATGAGTTGAGATTTCAAACGCATAAAGCAAAAGTGATGCATTAATGCATGGTTCCTTACTAGACTGGAAGTTGTTTAGAATCAACTAATGGATTTTAGTAGCTCTCCAAGATTCCCAGTTTAATTAATAACTTCAGTGGGAATTGGTCATGAGGGATTACAAAGTTTAGATCATTTTAAACAAGTTGGAAAATAACTGATTTGGAAAATTGGACAATTCTTCCAATTTATCTAATTCTTCATGTTGAGCTATAACACCCATTACTCTTAGACAGTTTGCTCCCAGTCTAAGCACTGATTAAAAAAAAACTTGAATCGTATTGTAAAAGCTAACCTTACTTTAAAGGTAATGCACTAGAATCCCAAATGATTCAATGTCTCCGCTTAATAAATGCTGTAATTCCTCCTTTTTCACAGGCTGTTCTGGGACCTCTCATAGCCATCGCATTGAAGCTTTCTCAGATCCACGAGAGGACTGGTCGAAAGGGGCCTACTGTTATCACCTGAACTCATCATGCACAATTCACCATGGGCCAAAGTCGAGTGTGTCAGAGAGACAGATTATTTTCCTTTAACTAGCCAATGCCTTATCTTTGCTGTATATGCTTATTACTGTTTTGTTTTTTCTTTTTGTTTTTTAACAAAGTAAAAAGATAAACTGTGTTATGTGCTAATCTTATAGAATGTATCTGTAATCACCAAGGACAAGTTGATATTTACTTTCTGTCAGTAATTTTCTGTTCTTGTTTGGTCACACTTCCTAATTAATATGTATTGCTCTAAAATATATCATATGATTGTGTGCTGTCCTGTATTAAGCTATTGTTTCATCACATTTTTTAATTTATACAACGTGAGAAGCTTCAAACACTATGTGAAAAACAATGGATTTCAAACAAACGGTAAAAATAGACACTAATATGGTTCATATATACATGCACAATATTTATCCATTGCCACTGGACTGCACCTTGGGCTTATTCACTAAATATCATATTAGCGTCAACTGAAAATAGATTTACAAAATTTAGGGGGGGGGACTTTGCTGTAGTCACAGCTTGGCGATTTTAGCCTAAATTTAGCATTTTGATTTTCAATTCACTAAAACTCATTGTTTACTTAATAAACTCAACTGTATTATGCTATGTTGTAATGAATCTTACATACCTCTGAAATGGTTAAACTGCAGGAAGCACTGTTGTATCTTTCAGTGATTCCTGATTCAAAATATCATAACAGAATTCCCGTAAGACAATCACGTGTACAGCAAAACCTGAGAAATGATCCTTTGGAAAGCAAATAGGCTATGCTTGTGACAAGTCCAATTATTTCTGCCCATGCTCTGTTATATTATTTAATGTTTTTCCTGAAG